CTAGTTGTACTGTGAACATTGCAATTTGCTGCAGAGCAGAAAATCTGTTATTCAGAAAAATGTATTTCTCTGACAGACATCTATTTGCGATGTACATAAGCATACTGCAACCACCCTGAAAATCCATTGGTGCTACTGAAGCAGAACTATTAACAGAATGTCCTGCTTTAAAATAGCACCCTTATGTGCAGGTCCTGATTTTAGAAGAGAGTGATTGTGTAATTTAGTAACTGCCTCACACAAGCAGTTCCAGGTACAATTTCATCTCTGGCCATTGATTGTAAAAGTAATGTACGGCCCTCAGGTGATCTCTGACACATTGTGTGACTAGTTTTTCTATTTTGTAACATATAGTAAACTCTGGCATACCTTGCAGGATTTCTGTAATGATCAACTTCCGATGTTTCTTTTCCTTGTGAAGATAACTGGAACACCACTTCTGGGTCCTTATAAATGTGCATAGTATAGCAAGCCTAGGCATCAGCCAATGTCAGTGCTGTGAGTCATTCGGAATGTGCACAATAAGAACATGAAATTGAAATATGTGCATCCATATTGATAGGATTGGGAGCAATTCTGTAAAGGAAAGAAGTTTTAAAAACAACAAAAATCTAAGGAGTCTGTAATTTTCACACATATACAAAAATAAGGAATCCCATAAGGTCATATCTGAAGACACTTGCAAATATCATGTTTGGGTATCAATTGTCAGACAACTGTGTACCAACTAGCAGATAACTTCTTATCAAGTGTTTCATAAGAGTTCTTCCAAGTTCTACTTGGAGATGACAAGAATGTAATGTGTTCAAAACTGCATGAAATCCCTGATGTACAGTGGAAGAGACACTTCACTCCTGTTAGGGAGCCAAATACCTTCTTGCTGTGAAGGTATTTGGCTCCCTAATTTGGTTCTTATGTCTCCTCAGGAACACAAGAACAACACAGACACAAAGCTGTTCTTTTCAACTGGAAGGCTTTTCTTTCTTCAGTTGCAGCAATAGTACAAACAGTACAAATACTAACACAGTATGCACAACAAACTCTCTCTCTTCTCTTACAATCCATCAAACTCATTCCCTCATTAAACTCTCATCAAACTAACCCAGGGTTACTCCAACCTATATACAATAGTCTCAGCACTGGTCACATTCCAATTACAATGACACCTGTGGTTAAACCTGAGACACTGATCCTGTTATCGCTTCAAGAAATGCTGTGCAACTTACAAAGAATTAATGGCTAACCCTACCATAATGGCGGTTGCCATACCAGCTTTGGGCAAAAATACAGATAGTGTGGAGGAAGCAAAGGTAGCACCTCCATCACTGTTCCCCTTTGCTAGAAGATAGAGCTTTGAATAATATGCAGCTTGCTTGGCATATGTAAATAAACAAAAAACAATCTGGTAACATGGATGTTGTCCTGTCACCAGTACTGAATAAGACTTAACAGCTATGTAGCTCAATGCCTTTCCAAACTATCTGGAGGTCTGGCAATTTATGTTTTTCCCAATATGCTTTTGTAATATATTTGTACCCATTATACTATGTAACAAAATTTGGAAAAAATGTTCCTGGTTTGAAAGTGTTATTTCCTGTTTAATTGTGCAGTATTTACTTTGAAAGTAGCTGTTATACTCAAGAAACTTCTTTTTTTTTCTTTTTTCTTTTTTTTTTGGCTGCCACAAACTAGGTTGAATTGGTTGAGACTCTATGAGTTATTCATTGAAAAGCCATAGCAAAATGTGCTGCAGGGTGTCCCACAGAATTTTTGCAGTTTAATAAACTTTTTCCTTGTTTTATGATAGAACCAATTAGGGAATAATGTTTATAACCCAGGAACAAACATCGTGTTACATGGTGTCATCTGTAACTTTTTATTTTATGTTCTTTCCAGGAAACCTACCAGGCACTGGCTCACAGAACAACAGCATAAGCCAGTCCACCATTTAGGAGAACACAAGCCACCACTTAAAAGTACAATGGAGAAGCAGAGTGCCCTTTGCCTTAGGCAGCCAAATACATTGGGCCAGACCTGGGGCTTTGGGCATGGAAAGCACTCTACAATGAACAGTGTCCCTCTGAGATATGCTGTGAACCCCATGACCATGATCTTACAGCTAAGCCATGATATTTCAAGCTCAAAATATTTCAAGTCACTGCATCCTTAGCCATGGCCTTGTATACATTGAAGAAGTGAGCTATTAAGGAGAGAAGAAGAGAACTATGGTATTCATCTATTCCTCTTGCATTAGCCTCTGGCTGGGCAGAGAAATCACGCTGGAAGTTATTCAACAGGTTGTTAATCTAAAATAGGGACTGATAACAATTGCATCAATTTTCATGGTTCTGGGACTCTCTGTAGGCCACCAAGAAGGAAGGAGTGTAGTGGAGGCTCCTTCTTAGGAGGCTTTTGAGCAGAGGCTGGATGGCCATCTGTCAGGGGTGCTTTGAATGCGATTTTCCTGCTTCGTGGCAGGGTGTTGGACTAGATGACCCACAAGGTCTCTTCCAACTCTATGATTCTATGATTAAATATGATGCTCTATCATTGATTCCCTCACAACAAAATAAAGAAGGCAATATAGAACCAGACTGACACACAGTCTATGTGCAGGAAAGTGGCATATTTGTTCTTATTCTTTGAGGAATTCTGCACTGCGGTTTTAGAATACTCTAAGTTGGATGTTTTATGTACTCACAAATACACAATGAGATCTTTTGGGAATGGGACCCAAGGCTAAACACAAAACCCATTTATGTTTCATACACACATACCTTGAAAGTCATTTCATGCACAATATTTAAACAGTTTTTGAGTATAAAACAAAGTTTGTGAGTGAAATAAAATCCATTTGTTCCATATATAAAGGTAAAGGTTTCCCCTTGACATTAAGTCAAGTCGCGTCCGACTCTGAAAGGTGATGCTCATCTCCATTTCTAAGCCAAAGAGCCGGTGTTGCCCATAGATGCCTCCTAGGTCATGTGGCCGACATGACTGCATGGAGCACTGCTACCTTCTCCCCAAAGTGGTACCTATTGATCTATTCACATTTGCATGTTTTCGAATTGCTAGATTGACAGAAGCTGGGGCTAAAAGTGGGAGCTCACCCCACTCTCCAGATTTGAACCACTGACCTTTTGGTCAGCAAGTTCAGCAGCTCAGCGCTTTAACCCACTGCGCCACCAGGGGCTCATATATACATACCCTAGAAGTAATTTTGTACACAGTATGTAATACTTTTGTGCATGAAACAAAGTTTGTGCAGGAACCCAAATTCATTCCTTTTGATATACACACAGCCTGTTAGAAATTTCATGCCCAATATTTTTTAATGATGCTGTTTATTTATTTATTTACCCTGTTTATACCCCACCTTTCTCTACCCCAGGGGGCTTACATATGACAATTATTCAATGCCTTAAACATTGAGAAGCATCTCAAGCTCTAAGATTACCTGGGAAGGAATCCCACTGGAGTATTGCAACACACCTAAATATCTGGGAGTCACTCTGGACCGAGCTCTGACCTACAAGAAGCACTGCCTGAATATCAAGCAAAAAGTGAGCACTAGAAACAATATCATACAAAAGCTGACTGGCACAACCTGGGGATCACAACCAGATACAGTGAAGATATCTGCCCTTGCGCTATGCTACTCTGCTCCTGAGTATGCATGCCCAGTGTGGAACACATCTCACCACGCTAAAACAGTAGATGTGGCTCTTAATGAGATATGCCGCATTATCACAGGCTGTCTACACACTACACCACTAGAGAAATTACACTGTCTAGTCGGTATTGCACTACCTAACATCCAGAGGGAAGTAGCAGCTAATAATGAAAGGACCTAGGCAGTGACACCTCCGGCCCACCCCCTGTTTGGACATCAGCCAGCACTCCAACAACTTAAATCAAGAAATAATTTTCTAAGATCTACAGAGACACTCGCTGGAACACCTCAGCAAGTGAGAGTCCAAAAGTGGCAGGCTCAAACCCAGAACCTCAATCAATGGCTGATACCAAATGAGAGACTCCCTCCTGGGCACACAGAAAACTGGGCGACTTGGAAGGCGCTGAACAGACTGCGCTCTGGCACCATGAGATGCAGAGCCAATCTTAAGAAATGGGGCTACAAAGTGGAATCCACAACATGTGAGTGTGGAGAAGAGCAAACCACTGACCACCTGCTGCAATGCAACCTGAGCCCTGCTACATGCACAATGGAGGACCTTCTTGCGGCAACACCAGAGGCACTCCAAGTGGCCAGATACTGGTCAAAGGACATTTAATCAACTACCAAGCTTGCAAACTTTGTGCTTTGTCTGTCTGTCTGTCTGTGTTTTTGTTTTTTTGTTTTGTTAAAAATGTAATGCAACTGTCTGATTGCTCCTGACACGATAAATAAATCAAAACCACGAGATGCAGAGCCAACCTTAAGAAATGGGGCTACAGAGTGGAGTCCGCGACATGTGACTGTGGAGAAGAGCAAACCACAGACCACCTACTGCAATGCAACCTGTGCCCTGGCACATGTACAATGGAGGACCTAACACCAGTGGCACTCCAAGTGTCCAACTACTGGTCAAAGGACATTTTTAAATTTTGTGTTTTCTCAAATACAGGGATGGCATCCTTGAAGTGACTGGACTGACCTTGAAGGAGCTGGGGGTGATGACGGCTGGTCCATGAGGTCACGAAGAGTTGGAGACGACTGAATGAATGAACAACAAACAAATACATTGTTTCGCTCCTGATACGATTAATAAATAAATAATGCTTTAAACACATACAACATTATGTTCGAAATCCATTGAATTAAAATGATGTTGTGCATGAAACAAAGTTGGCGTCCCAGCCGAGAGCAAAGGCGTCCCACGTGGTGGACCAAACCTCCCGAATCCCGGCTGAGGATGCTCAACGTGTGACTAAGCTGGCCCAGGCGGTGGGCGGGGCTAAAAGTTCCCAGGTGACGTCAGGCGGGCTGGCCACGCCCCTCCTGGGCGGCCCCTCGCGCCGCCTCTCCTGCCTAACTTTCCCTCTCGCAACTCCACTGAGATGCTCAACTTGCGCGGAGCCGCGGAGCAGCCCGGCCGCTCGGCTCCGTCTCCCGCCTCGGACGCCACGCCTCCCTCCGCCGACCCCCAGGCAGGCCTCGGACGGGAAGCGCGGGGTCCGCGGCGAGACTAAGGAGGAGGGCAGCCCAGGGCCCCTCGCGCCCCTCAGCCCAGCCCAGCCCAACCGAGTCCTTCCACCGGCGGAGCAGCGCTGCAGGTGAGCCTCGGGCAGCGCGCGGGAGGAAGCGGGCGTTTTGGCGGGGCGAGCGCGCTCGTGCGCTCGCGGGGTGGGGGCCGTGGGGGCCGTCTCGCGCTTGCCTTCCGTCCGGGGACTCTCTCTCTCTCTCGAGACCGCGGCAGTGGAAGGGGAATTCGCGAGGGAAGAGGGCGGGAAGCGTGTCGCTTTGGCGAAGTTGCCGCGGCGCTTTCGGAAAGAGCGGCAACCTGTGGGTTTTGGGCGGCGAGTGTGAGGGAATTGGGGACTTCATTCGCCGGCTGCCTCCCCTCAGGCACCCGCGCGCCTCTGTGGAAGAAAGGGGCGCGCCTTCAACGCGTGTTCACTGGGTTGCTGTGAGTTTGTCGGGCTGTATGGCCACGTCCCAGAAGCATTCTCTCCTGACGTTTCGCCTGCATCTAGGGCAGGCATCCTGGGAGGTTGCGAAGTCTGTCGAGGGCCGGAAAGGCGCCCAAGTTGGTCGCCAAAGGCCCCTCTCGCCTTTGACCCTCCAAGAGCGGGCTGGGCTCTACCGGGTGCTTCATCCGTCCAGCCACCGAGAGGACAGAGCAGTGCGGCTCTCGTTTGGAGGAGAGTCTCCGCACAGTCAACTCCGCCACACCTGGCAGCCTCCCCACAGGCTCCACTCCGCAGCGCCCCCCTCTTCCCTTCCCGCGGCGCTTCATCATAAACAAACAAATAGTGACAAAGTGGACAACGGGCTCCAACATAGAACACGCGTCCCTTGCCCTCAAGCTTTGATGATGAACCCCTGGGGGGATTCATTCGTGGGCGAAACCATCAAGGGATTTGAACCAAAGGTGGGCATGGTTCAGAAGAAGAACTTCCCCCACAACGGTTGCATTGACCTGGAACATAGGCCATTCCGCCCTGACTTGGTGGAAGATGTGGATTCTGGGCCTGTATTAGGTAGTGTTCGAGCAGGAATGGGCAAGCTTTGGCCTTCCAGATGTTTTGGACTTCAACTCCTATCATTCCTAACAGCCTCAGGCCCCTTCCTTTTCCCCCTCAGCCGCTTAAGCGGCTGAGGGGAGAAAGGAAGGGGCCTGAGGCTGTTAGGAATGGTGGGAGTTGAAGTCCAAAATACCTGGAGGACCCACGTTGGCCCATGTCTGTGTTACAGGAAAGGGGGTGCTCTGCCCTCCACTGGCCTGACTCTGTGCCCGGAGTTATCTGAGGACCCGCCACAGTCCCCTTCCCCAACCATCTTTGCAGCTCCTGCACTTTGATTTCCTTCCTTCCCTTCTCCCCCCCCCCCCCCCCAACCCAACCCCAGTACTTCCCCGCCTTTCAACTCGCACTCTCATTACCATGACAACCCCGAAATGTCACTGCGAAAGATGCTGTCTTAATTGCTGGTTTGGTGGCGGCCGAGGTGGGCGCGGGAGGAGAGGAGACAGAGGAACCGCATGCTTCAGTTCAGATCCAGGCTGAGGAGGCCCCTGAGGGGCAAGGAGTGGAGGAAAGGAGGGAGGGGTGCTGCCAAAGGCCTGACCTCTCATGCATTTGGAGAGTGGGATCTATAGGTGGGGAATGGGACGTGTTTGGTGCTTGGACGGAAATGCTGCCTTCTCACTCTTGTAACAGGAGTCCTGTAGGTAGAGCTGTCTTGCATTGCCTTGCTAGCCGTGCCTGTGCCTGTTCCTCTGTGACTACTTTACTGAGTGGGCTCTGGGTGAGGGGCCATGCAGGCCACAGTTTTGGAGCTCATCTGTGAGGAAAGAGCAGCAGGGAAGCTCCATCCCGCTTAGGAGGTAGGACTGGGTTGCTATGAGTTTTCTGGGCTGTATGGCCATGTTCCAGAAGCATTCTCTCCTGACGTTTCACCCACACCTATGGCAGGCATCTTCAGATCTTGAGAGGTCTGTTGGAAACTAGGCAAGTGAGATTTATATATCTGTTGAATGTCCAGGATGGGAGAAAGCATCTGGGGAGGGGAGGGAAGACTGCTCTCTCCTCAAACATCTGAGGATCATCTACACCATGGGCAAACTTTGGCCCTCCAGGAGTTTTGGACTTCAACTCCCACAATAAGGAATTGTGAGAGTTGAAGTCCAAAACACCCGGAGGGCCAGAGTTTGCTCACTCCTGCTCTACACTAGAATTAATGCACTTTGACATCACTTTAACTGCCCTGGCTCAATGCCGTGGGATCATCAAAGCTATAGTTTTACAAGGACTTTAACCCTGCCAAACAGTGCTTATCCCTCCTCAAGTTATAAATCCCATGTTTCCATAGCATCTAGCCACAGCAGTGGTGGAGGCTCCTTCTTTGGCGGCTTTTAAACAGAATCTGGATGGCCATCTGTCGGGGATGCTTCGAATGAGATTTTACTGATTTGAGTGTTATTTCCTGCTTCTTGGCAGGGGGTTGGACTGAATGGCCCATGAGGTCTCTTCCAACTCTGTGATTCTAAGTGGTATCAAATGGCATTAATTTTACAGTTTAGATTCCTCCCAGGTGAAACTCCTAGGATTGGAAAGGATTGAGACAACGTACCAGGAAGCTACTGAAATTGCTTCTGAGCCCCTTATTAGTGTTTTCTCCCACATGCACAGGTTTTTTTTCCACAGGAAGAGAGATTTTGGGGGCCTAGAATTAACTAGCCAAGGAAAATGTATCACCCCCCCCCCCCATTTCACAGTGGCACACACATAGAGATACAATGTATTCATTTAGTGAACAGATCAGTTCAGAGCCAGACAGCAGATCAATCAAAGTGCAAAAAATCCCACGTTTAATCCATAGGCCCGCAGCTTGTGTGAGTGTGTGTTTTAGTACCTGTTAACAAATTCGGAAATCACTCCAACACACTTCCTCTGCCGGGAAGGGGGAAGCAGAGAGTGTTTACAAAATCAATTTGCACTTAATCAGCGCAGCTTAGGTTCCAAGAGCTGGATCACATTGCTGTTAGCTCTCAAAAAGAGGAAACACAACTATCCCAAACCAAATAATAATTTTCTGCCGTCCCTAGATTCATATTGGCTGCTTCCGTGGTATTGATATCTTTTCATTGGACTGTTAAGGAGTCAGAAAGGAGCAGCCACACTACACACGCATAAACCAGGGTGGAGAATAGGATTGCAGCTTCCATTATCCCTGACTTTTAGCCATCCTGAGCACTAAGGAAAGTGGGTACCAACAGCTGTTTATGCCAGGTGCTGCTCTTGTTATCAGTAAAGCTGCAACCCAATTAAAGCAAATGTGTTGACTGATCATCGCATTTTTCAATTAGCACCTAATCAGTTCATGCAAATAACTTTGCCTTTCATCAAAACATTGTAATAGACAGATATCAGAGCAATTGTGTCTGTTCTAATAGGAATAACAGCTACCACTTGAAAAGGAAGACCGTCTTTAAGATTAGCTTCTCCACACTTTATTACAGTCACAGAATTTATCCCAATTTTCCAAAAGGACAAACATATCTATAGTTTGAAGTCCAGTGATTAAAATATTCCCTGCTAATTACAACTGACTCTTCAAAGCTGTCTTCATTGCATTATTTAAATCTTGTGGCTCTCAGAGATTTCTTTAGTTTCCGAAACACTACCAATGAACACACTCCGAACCCATGCTATTCCCCATGGAGCATTTTGGTTTCTATTCATTCAGTTCTTCTCAGAGGTATTTTGGGTTTGTTGTCTCCACAATGACAGTTCACTGTATTAAGAAGTGCAAGGTACAGTTGCCCTCCTCCATATCCACAGTTTCTGCATCCACAGATTTCACCATTCACATCATGAAAATAATTCCATTCAAAATCCAAAAAAATAATTTTAATTTCATTGTTTTATATAATGTATGCCATTTTAAAGTGCCATTGTATATCATGGGACTTGAACATCCATGGATGTTGGTGTCCAGTTTGGGGGGGGGGGGTGTCATGGAACCAAATCCTAGCAGATACCAAGGACCCACTGTAGTGGATTGAGTGCTCTAGAGGGGCAATTCAACAGTCAGCAAAATATCTTGATCAGGTCCTGAACATAGGACTATCCCACGATTCAATTCCCCACACAGTCATGAAAATCCATGGGGTTACTGTGGGTGAGTCACACTCTCTCAGCCTCAGAGGGAGGCAGTGGCAAACCTGTATGAGAAAATTTTGTCGAGAAAACTCAGTGATATAATCACTGTAAGATAGAAACAACTTGAAGGCACACAAAAACAACAATGGATCACCTAGGCAGGTATTTTAGGCTACACTCGGTACTGGCTATGCCAACAGAGAGTTCTGGGAATTGAATATCAAAATCATCTAAAACAATGGTTCTCAACCTGTGGGTCCCCAGGAGTTTTGGCCAGTTTACCAGCTGTTAGGACTTCTGGGAGTTGAAGGCCAAAACATCTGGGGACCCACAGGTTGAGAACCAATGATAAAGGATCAAACTTTCTGATTGCTTATTATGATTTAGGTTTAGAAAACCTCAAAAACATAACATTGTGTGCTCTCTCTCCTAATCCTTGCTTGTTTTTGTTGTTGTGTGTCTTCAAGTCATTTCTGACTTATCGTGATCCTGAGGCAAACCTATCTCAGATTTGTTTTGGCAAGATTTGTTTGAAAGGGCTTTGGCTTTGCCTTCTCCTGATACTGAGAGAGTGTGAGTTTCTCAAGGTCACCCAGTGAATTTCCATGGCTGAGCGAGGATTCAAACTCCAGTCTGCAGAGTCATAGTCAAAGCACTATACCACTCTGGCTTTCCCTCGTTTAATCATAAGTAAATCACACTTTACTGATTAACATGCCTAGAATTGTAGCCTCAACATTTTAGTGTTGTACAGCTGGCATCAATATGCTGTGAATTGTGTGAATATTTTTCTGCAGTTAACGCCCATTCAGTTCCATGAACACAATTCACCTGCTACCCACAGTTAGAAATGCTGAAGGATTTCGTGCAATCTGTGTGGGGGTTTTTTTAAGTGAAACCTACTTAGTTTATAATTCCTAGATTAATACCATATGTGGCTAAGAACCAGA